AACTGATCTGCTGATCTCAGACCCCCAACCATGAAGAGACTATTCAGCCAGTGGATTCTGAATAGGTTTCATTGCGACTGGAATGGCAAGAATGGCAGCAATTCAGAAATGTTGAACTATCAAACTGCTTGAGCAGGACCCTCGGAGCGTGCCTCACATTGGGGACCTGGGGTGGGTGGGAGACTGGGTGGGGCTTCTCCCTTTGTTTCTCCTCTGATCCCAGATACAGGGGGAAAATGATATTAGTGTGGGAACAATGGTATTACCCACTTTCCTGTAGCCCTTGACTCTTTGTACCCTAATCAACGAGATCATTTAAAAAATAAATTAATAAATGAGAAAAAAAAGAGGGCTGGCATTGTGGCACAGAGAGTTAAGCTATCTCTTGGGGTGTCTACAATCCATGTGAGCATTGGTTTCAGTGGTAGCTGTTCAACTTCCGATCCAGCTCCCTGCTAATGCTCCTGAAGAGTAGCAGATGTTGGCCGAGGTGTGTGGGCCCCTGTGCCCACAGGGGAGATCTGGATGGAGTGCCAGGCTCTTGGCTTTTGCCTGGCTGAGTCTTGGCTATTGCGGCCTTTTGAGGATTAAACCACTGGGGAGGATCACTCTCCCTGTCTTTATAACTCTGCTTTAAATCAACCAATCGATCAATCAATCTGTAAATGGAAAAGACAAAGCAAGAAAAGGATGCGTATATTCAGGCTAAAGGTAGAACATCTGCTAAATACAGGGAGAGAAAAGCAAGAGCAAGCCTATGCATTTCATTTCTGTTACTATGGGGGAGTTTAAAACATACACAGAAAAATAGGATTGCAATATAAGTTTACTCCAGTGCAAAATAATTTTGAAATCCGTGCATATCAAGTATTTCCTTAGTTTGACTATTGTTGGATACAAGGTTGGGTTAATACAGGAAGATGTCTGTAAGGGCCCTGGACAAGCGCACAGCCCTCCTCCAGCTAATAATTTGTAAAATGGAGTAACCAGATCCTCTAAAAATTACAAAAATTAATCTAATGTTATATTTGAAGCATCTAGTTCAGTTCCTGGCATATTATAAATGCTCAACATGTAACAGCTATTATTCTTATATTTTATATTATTTTACCTTGATAAAACCTCCAGGCTTGTAATTAGTCTAGTAGTTAAAACACTTACTTTATAGCACTGAGGTCCAAATTCTGGCTTCACTTCTGACTCTACCTTCCTACTAATACAGACACTGGGAGGCAGTGGTAATGACTTAAGTAAGGGGGCCCCTGCCATCCGTGGAAGAGACCAGGATGGAATTCCTATTCCAGCTTCAACTCAGCACTGTCAATTGTAGATATCTGGGGAGTGAACCAGCAGATGGGGTTATTTCTCTCTCTCCCTGTTTCTGTGCCTCTGAAATGCATCTCGTATTGGAGGGCCTGGGATTGAGTTGAGCTTCCTCCTCCACTACGGGTCTAGCTTCCTGCTAATTTCACCGGAAGGTAGAAACATGGGTTTCTGCTGCCTCTATAGGAGATCTCATGGAGTTCTTGGCTTTTGGCTTTGGGCTGGCCCCAGTTGTGGTCACTTGGTAAGTGAACCAGAAGATATAAGATTTCTCTCTCTGTTTCTACCTCCCCCGCTGTCACACTGCCTTTTAAATAAACCAGTCAATGTATTTAACAAAGATATTCCCACCTTGCAAATCTTTCAAATTCTGATCTGTCACTTCCTTTACTTACAACTCAAGGAGAGCTCATGGCTTTATGTGACCAACTGGTTTGTGCGCCATCATGTGAGTAAGAATGACCTTCAATGAATGCAAATCTTCCACATGATCTTCCATAAAGCAAAGCACAACTTTCTCTGCCACTGTGGTCTCCATACAGCCTTTAGAATACGACAGAGAAGACAAACCAGAACGTAGGAGCAACAAGTGTCATCAACATGGTGACAGGACAGTTTCAACCAATACTGACATTCATGAAAAAACTATTCAGAAAGTATGCAGTGCCCTTGTTCACTGCTGAACCAATGGTCCTTAAGGGCAATACTTAAATATCTACAAAAAATACGAAGACCTGGAGTTGCAATGATTTGTCCAAAGGTTATCTTGGAAGATTCTAGTAGTCACTAGGCAGGTGTGAAGAGAACACATCCAAACTTCCAAAATGAACACCTGTTTTAACTTTAGCAGAACAAAGGTGCTGCTGACCCAGAATGAGCTACTGTTGACTCATTTATACCTTGCAGGGACCCCATCAATTGCACAATCTTCTCCAAGCTGCAGGCAGGAAATTAGGCAAAGACAAATATAGACATCTGATTGCCTCTAGAGATTTAGAGCTATCAGCTTGTTGGAGAGCAGTCAGAGTGGTTCTTGTTCCTGTAACAGACCTGCAACTCTACTGGACGCCCATTCAAGCTTGCCTGTGCTTTTAAGTGAGCTACGGAAACTCCACCAGCCCCTCTGTGTCACAGAGATTCACTGGCAGGCTGGGTACCAGGGTACGCTGCCTGAAAAAAAATCCCATTCAGGAGAGGGGAAGAGAAAATTCCTGAGCCTATGGAACTTTATCATGAAAAATAAAAACAAACACAAATAAATAAACACACACACACACATAAACACACATGCATATATACACACAACCAAAAAACCTCCCATTCAGTTAGACTGACACTTTAGGGTTCCGTGAGCTGAGTTCTTTGAGCTGCTCAGACCTTTGAGGATTTGTTTGGCTACTGGAGATGAGATGCAAACTGAAGTCTGAAGTTCAGGGCTATCTCTATGTGTGGTTCTCTACAACCTTGCTCTCTTTAGTCCCAAGATTGATCTTTTCCCCATTCAGTTAATGATCTTCTCGCACAGTGTCCAACAGTGTGTGTGTGTGTGCCTGTGTGTATGTGTGTGTGTGTGTGTGTGTAGAGAAAGATTTATTTTTTTTTAATTAGAAAGTCAGATATACAGAGAGGAGGATAAACAGAGAGGAAGATCTTCCATCTGATGATTCACTCCCCAAGTGGCCGCAATGGCCAGAGCTCAGCTGATCCAAAGCCAGGAGCCCAGAGCCTCTTCTGGGTTTCCCATATCAATGCAGGATCCCAAGACTTTGGGTTGTCCTCAACCGCTTTCCCAAGACCCGAGCAGGGAGCTGTATGGGAAATGGGGCCGCAGGGACATGAACCTATGCCCATATGGGATCCCAGCGTGTGCAAGGCAAGGACTTCGGTGACTAGGCCCTCATCCCTTTTTGTGGACGACTTGTTTCAGGTGGCAGAATGTCCTCAAGATTCATTCATTGTTCATTCAAAAGCCAGGAGACAGTATTCCTTCCTTTTCCACAGTGATAACATTCCACTGTATTTATGTGCCACATGTTTTTTTGTGGCTTCTTCCCCTGAAAGAGGCTGTTATGAATGTAGATATACCACGTCTGTGAAGGTCTCTGTTCTTAATTCTCTGGGGTATACACTCAGAAGCAGAATTCCTCTATCACATGACAAATCATTTAATCCTTTGAGAGACCTGCATATAATGTGCCAGCAGCCATAGCAGTTGAACCATTTTATATCCTCACCAACAAGGCTGGAGGATTCGTTTCTCCTGCTTTTGTTTCTGTGTTAATGACATAACATGAACAAGTGTGTTCTTCCAGCTGTAAAAGCTTATGCCGTATTATCTAGTTTAGGGTCACTCATTTACAAAATGGGAATAATAGCATCTACTGAACAAGACTAAAAAATCAATCCAATGGCATATAAAGCGTCAAGCCAGTTCCTGGCACAAAAGTGCTCAAAAAATAACAGCTCTTATTCTTTTATTCCATTCAATTTTAACCATATGAAAAATGGTCAGGGCACAGATTGGAAGAACATAGTTCAAAATGCTAAGAAGTCTTATTTCTAGGTATGAGTTACTCCATATTTTGTACTTTTGAGTACTGTTTCTTATTTATATAATTTTTACTTTCATTGTCATAAAAATATATATGTTTTAAAATCATAGCAATAAAAAATAATAATAATAAAATCATAGCAATGTGGTGAACACAACATGCAGGCTTACATGTGGATACAGGTGCCCTCCCAACACTGACTGGAGACTTGAAGCTTACGTCTAACTGACAAGGAATCTGCTGGCTGCAAAGTTAAAGGCCTTGCCTTCCAGAGAACTATACAGCCCAACTCTGGACACAGGCCTGTTAATGCCACAGGCAGAGCTGCTCACCTGGACACCAACCCTCCGCAGTCTCTCCTCTCTAGCTCTCTCTCTGCTTATTCTTCTATCTCTCTGTTTCTTTATCTCTTTCTCTACACACACACACTGTTGGACACTGTGGGAGAAGATCATTAACTGAATGGGGAAAAGATCAGTCTTGGGACTAAAGAGAGCAAGGTCGTAGATAGGTCGTGATAGGGAGCTTCCTACCCCTTCTCTGGTCTTCCAGGCTGGGTGTACCAACATAGTTCCTCCCGTTCCTCTTGGTAGCTGTGATTGGTTCTACGATAGGGCTGAGGTCTAAGCCATGACAATGAAACACAATCTGGGTCATTTCTTGGGCCTGCAGGAAAACAGAAACACTGTTCACTGAAGCCACTTAGACGGTGGAATGCAGGCCTGGAACCAAGAGGACAAGAGGCCCACTCTATGGGAAGGAAATCCAAGAGCTGGCAAGAGCAGACACATTCCCTGAGCAATTCGCATATCTGTGTCCATCCAAGTCTGAACCACGACTGGGCACTTTATTTACTTAGGTTACTGATTCCATTTCCACTCCACATATATCCCATTCCATATCTATCTATCTATCTATCTATCTATCTATCTATCTATCTATCTATCTATCTATCATATTTATACATTTTTTTGGGTTACTAGTTTAGTTGCATTTCTAGACGAAAGCTCTGATTAACATAATTGGGGAAGACATTTTTCATTTGCCCTCACCCTCAGGAAGTTTATTCCCCAATAAAAGGTCCCGCAGTTTCCTTCTGGGGTGGGGCCCATAATCATGGCTCACCCTGCGTTCAAATTCTTCCCCTTGCTTCACCTCTCGGGGGTAGCCATCAATCAGGAAGCCACTGGTGTCTTGGATGCTGGCCACCATGGCTTCCCTCAGGAGCTCCAGAATGATACCCTGCAGCAAAAGGACAATGGTCAGGACCCGAGTCAGCCACAGAGCAGCCCAAGGATGAGCCCAAGTCCCAGTTGGTCTTTGTGGGAGGGGCAAAGCTCAGGCAAGGCAGAGGGTAACAGCGTTGTAGTGTGTCTAGGCCACTGTGAGTCTCACTCTTCCCCCTCACTCCAATGTTTTTGAAATTTATAGTTACTGACCCAGTGCTCGGACATGGTGTAATTGGGGTTTTCATTAAAACAAATCAAGACAAAACTGATAAGTCTTATCAGTTATGTTTTCTTGGAATGTCTTACAGCAATGCACCTTAGATTAGATGAAATACGGTGGCCATATTTCATATGATAGCACTCCATGAGTTAGGCATAATAGAATCAAAGCTAGACCTAACATGGTATACAATGCATTTCACTACTGTTTCCAATAAATATTTTCTAAAACTTGACTTTCACCGACCTGAGACTTTCAGTAGGTGTGAAGTAGCATTTTCTAGCAACATTGCTTTCTTGGTTAACATTTTTTTTTTTTTTGGTAGAAAAAGTGCTTATTGGGGCCTGCAGAGTGGAGTGTGCCTGGGAACTCCTGCATGTATTTGTGTCACAGGTGGGCAGGGCTGGGGGGGAGAAGAGGCGTGTTAGGATTCCAGGCTGGCATGCTGGAATGGTGTGCTGGTGACTGGGATTAGGGATTGGTTAACATGCTTGAGTCCTGGGTGGGTGGAAGGGTAAGGTCACACAGGCCAGTGGGTGTGCTGGAGGACTGGATCTGAGGTCCTGGGAGGGTGCAGTGCTTCAAGCCAGCATGACACCATACTGGAAGACCTTGCTGGGAATCCTAAGTATTAGTGGGCATGAGGGTTGTGGATTAATTAGGGAAGTGGGTATAGGATGTGTGGGAGTGGAGTCACCAAGAGAGTATGCTACAGATGAGGAATGACTTCTGGGGGTTGGAGGGGGGGGGATTCTGCTGACAAGGCCACCGTACTGCAGGCAAACAAGGGGACTGAGACCTAGAGGGTATCAAGGAGGGAAACCAAAGGATATTTCTGGGTCAGACCAACACACCTGCCCTCATGAGAGATCAGAGCTGTGCTAGTTAGATTGAGCACTGCCCACTGGTGCACATGAAAGTTAAGGCTGGGTGCCTACATGGCAGGACTGGACCACAGGACCCCCCAGTGAGTGATGAAGCAGGGGGTAGGTCACATTGGGCTGGGCAATGACACTAATCAGCATGCGAGATAACCAGGTGTGGGGGCATGTTCTGAGAGGAATATGTGTGATCACCCTTTTGGGACTACAGTATCTGTTGTGTTGCTCAGGAGTTAAGGGTGGTGATGGATCAAACTGGGTGCAGTCATAGAACTCTCTGATACTTATGGGTACTGGAATTCAGAGCAGGCGAGGCGGGTTCAGACCGAAGCACCTGCAGGCACAGCCAAGAATTCAAAGTGGGGCAGGTTGGGCAGCGGCATCCACCAGCACACAGAGAGGCTGAGAATGAAGCAGTTGACTATGTTGGGTAACAGCCTACCACCCACTGGCACATTGAGATCTGTGTCTGTGAGTAGGTCTGTTGGGAGAACTTGGGGAACTGCTCTGGTGGGCTGCAGTTTCCATTGTTGAGCACATGAGTCAGGGTTGGGTTTTGGATAGTCCAAGCAAGGCAGCTCTACTTGTTGGCAGGTGTGTAGGTTGGCTTTGGAGTGGCAGACCAGGCAGGGCCAGGCCATATCATAGCACACTGGCAGGCAAAAAGCCAGGATGGGATGTGGGCATACGAGGCTAGGCTATCATACCTACCATTTTGCAAGAAAGCCAGGTTTGGGAGCAGGCTCGGCAGTGGTAGGCTATAGTACCCACCAGTGACAGTTGGGACTGCAGCAGCCAGGCTAGGCCAGGCTGTAGTATCCGAAGGCAAAAGCCAAGTCAGGGGATGGGCTATGTTGGGCTGGCTCAAAGCAATCACCAGCATTCTCAAGAGCTGTGGCTGGGAGCAGGCCTTCTTGGGGAGCTAAGGGGACACCCCAGCTGGGCTGTGGTTCCTACCAGTGAGTGCAAGAGCTGGAACAGGGGCAGTGATCTGGGCTGGACATTGCTGCAGTATCCCTCAGCATGAGTGTGGACTGGGTCTGGGGTATGCCAGGCTATGCTAGGATCCAGCACACGCTGGTGCTTGGTGGTTGTAGAACAGGCTATGTTAGGTCTCAGCATCCACTGAACCACATGAGAGCTGGGTCTCGGGGTATGCCAGGCAGTAGTGGGCTGTAGCACCCAATAGCAAGAGATAGAATGGATATAGGCTGGTCTGGCAAGGCTGCTGTACCTGTGAGGACAGGAAGTGGACTAATTCAGGGGGAACCAAGAGGAGGTGATTTGATAGAGGAGCTTGGGGAACTCCTCTGTCAGGATGTAGTCCCTGCTGGCGAGGGGAAGTGGTTGGGAGGAGCCCAGAGCAGGCCAGGTTATATTACCCACTAGCATATGTGCGGGTCAGGTCTGGTTGAGGGCTAGGCTGGGCCAGTTCATAGCATCCATTGGCACATGTGAAACCAGGACAGGGTGCAGGACAGGTCTGCTTGGCCCGCAACACCAGCCATTTCACATTAGCACCAGGACTGGGGACTCTCCAGAGTGATCTTGGTTGTATCACCCACTAGCATGAGCTGGAACTGGGGGAAGACCAGTCTGAGCAGGATATAGCACCCACAGGTGAATGCCAAGGTGAGGTGGGCCATACCAGACTGGGCTGCAGCACCCATTACCACATGTAGAACCCTTGGGGAGGTGGGTGGTGAGTTCAGTAGGAGGCTGAGGAGGCTCCCCTGCTTGACCATACTCCTGCTGGTCAGTGTGAAAACTGGGTTTGGGGGTAGACCAGACTGGTCAGAGCTGCAACAGTCACTGGCCCACATGTGAGCTGGATTAAGGGGAGAGCTATCCTGGGCTAAGTGACCGTATCCACTGGTGCATGCATGAGCCAGAGTAAGGGCAGACTGGTTGGGCTTTGCTGAAGCATTAGCTGGAAAGTGCCGGGACTGGGGACAAACCCCGTCAGACTAGACTGCAGTACCATCTGGAAAGTGCAAGATCTGAGCCTGGGAGTGGGCCTAGTAGGGAATCTGTGGGCACCCCTCTGATGGGCTGCAGCTTTCACACAGCAGATGGGGAAAATACAGCCACAACCCCACTGGGTTTCTTCATCCTAGTGACTCCCATGTATCACACCATGCCCAGTCTCGCCTCGGCCAGGGTAGGCAGCTGTGAGGGGCAGCTTGTGCTGCTTACTGAGGGCACCAGGTCTCCACGCTCCATGATGTCCCTGATCAGCTTGCTTCTTTCAGATTCTGATGCCAATTCATGACGCAAGAGCTCCCCAGTTGACAGATGAGTGAATCCGTATTTTTCCACCAGCTTTTCGCACTGGGTGCCTTTGCCAGAGCCAGGGCCACCTTGAAAAGAAGCCATGTGTTAGACGTGAATCCTAGGTTTTCTGGGAGGCAGTAAGCAAGCATGGGTTGGGAACTTAGCATCCAGCAGGGGCTGTGCTAGGAGGGATGGTCACTAGTGGAAAATGGGACAGAGTCCTGACTCTTGAAGCTTATTATCCTTGGAGTTGAACAGGTGTTCTATACAGACAGTAAGCAACTACTAGTTACAAGGTTCTACCTTGGTAACTGGTGGCTACCAGCAGGTGCAGTGTCCAAAGCGGGGCATGTGTCTCTGCTGTAGAGATGCAAGTCTCAGAGGTTTCCTTAAGAGCTGAATAAGACCCTGGCCATTATGCCTGACACATGGCGAGTGCTGAACAAATGCTAGCTGCTAATTAAAAAGAAAAAGCTCTTATTTTCAAATGATTATAAATTTGTGCAAAAATTATAGTAGTATACAAAGGTGTGCCTCTCTCTCTCTCTCTCTCACACACACACACCACTTTCTTTACCCAGTTATCAACTTTTCTACTCATCAAGATCGTACCTGCCTGAGGCCCCAGTCAGATGTGCTCCCTTTTGGCAGAACTGGCCTCAGCCTCCCCTCAGCTGGGGCAGGTGGTGCCAACAGCACCTAGGTACTCTCCACCTGCATTAGACCTGATTTCCAGGTCCCTCACCAGCCCTTCTGTTGTGGAGATGGTGCTGGGCACCCTTGGCACCTCACATAGCACCTTGCACATTGTAGGTGTTGCCTACATGTTTGACAAATCAAATCTTTTCTGATGAAAAGGAGTATTTGCTTTGGAATGTGAAACAACTGAGATTTTAGCATGCTAGTGAGGATGTATGACTTGTGCTGAGTCTTCTTGGCTTGCATCTGTTCACATCCAGAACCTCTTCCTGAGGACAGCCCAGCAACTACTGCCCCTCCCCACCCAGGATGACCATTCGTTGTTGTTCTCCAGTAAAGAGCCTCTTGTTCCCCCTTCTGTGTTTTGGCTGCATACCCAGGAAAGTGCCATGCTTCCTTTCCTCTGCCCACCTAGCAGCTGTTCTGAGCCACTGTGGAGAGCTTAGCTCTGCAGGGTTAGCATGGTCATGCAGTGACAGAGGCTTACAGAAGGGATGCAGAACACTTGATGGAGCAGCCGCCCACCAGCTAATGCTGTGCTTGCTCCAAGTGCCACGACTCTGACCTTCTAATGGAACTGGGAGTGCAAGCACAAGAGAGGGCCACTTGGTTAGGATATGCTTCCAGACAGCAAGCACTGGGCCTCTGCAGAGGCTTGGGCAAGTGTGGGGAGTGCTGCGGTGGCTGGATTTACCTGGAAACCCTTTTCTTGGGATGGCTGGAAGCCTGTCATGTGGAAGAGATATTTTCAGGCTTGGCCGACAATGCAAAAATGCTGTCTGTGTTCCAATTATTTTCTTTCTTCAGCCTCCCACTAATATGACTATTATAGTTTTTGTTCTTCCCAAATGTTATTTAATAAATTTTGACACAAAGGCAATTAAAAACCTGCAGCTCAAATTAACAACAGCTGTGTGTTAAACGCCAGCCACTGCCCTGGTTGGGAACCCTTAGCAACAGCTGCAGATTCTTAGCATTCTCGGGCCAAATGGTGCAGGCAGAGTGGAATTTTAAGTAACTTGCACAATGCCTTGATTCTTTCCTTGGCTCTTAACTGAAGAACAAAGTGATTTTATCACTGCAGAAAGCACAAAAACTGCTGGTGGAAGCATGAATTTTCATATACTGCCACTTACATGTTTTGGAGGTCTTAACTTATGGCTTGTACATAAAAAACAATAGGGCCTTGATATTCCTTTGGGATAATTTTATCTGTGGGGAAAAAAAATCTATCTGAGGAGTCACACCTCAGAAGGAGTGGGCTGCGTTCTCTGATGCCAAGATGACCGACGACAGATGAGCTGTCACACTCACTGCCAGCTGACTGGCTTTCAACGCATCATGACTGCAGCTTGAAATAAATGTATATTCAACCCCTCGTGGTGCAATTCACAGAGTCGGGGACAGGAGATCCTGTTTTGAACAGCTCATCAATACTTAAAAAGCAATCGCGTTCAACTTCAAATGTCATTTATACTATTCATTGGGCAAAGTGCAAGCTCTGCGAGCTCCGCTCTCCAGGCAGACTCTCATCTGCCACAGTCTCAGGAGGAAGTGCAGGTAACCCGGGAACCCAATCCCGTCTTCTCATTGTACACTTTGGCACTGTGTTTTCTGAGGTGGCGCCTAAACAAGGCTCACCACCTCGGTGTGCCCATCAGGTCGCTTTTCCTAGTTGGCTTTTCTATTTATAGGAGCAATTATCCCTGAATAGATAGCTCCTGTACTCATTAGCTGGGCTCCTCAAGGTCAGGACCTGCCTCCTTGAGCTGCTCCTGATAGTTGGTCTTAGGAAAAAGAAAAAAAAAAAAGAATAAAATGGCAAAGCGGGGCTGTTACTGTACATTCTGGGATGAGAGACCATGCTGCCACAAATATAGATGTCACAGAGTTTGTCAGCTGAATCCCAAACATGAACGGGTGCGTGCAGGTCAGTGTTCTACACAGCAAAGGCAAGGGGCAGGTTAGAACTCCTTTGCTGGCATTTTACTGTGGCTCTGTTGCTGTAGGATGCAACCTGGCACCCAGCAGGAGGCTTGTGCCACCACTCCTGGCTTGTAAACATCTGCTGGGCAGAACGTGCCACCCTGGCACTGTCATTGGCCCTGGAAACACAGACGCAGTGCTGGGTCTTATTCCTCAGTGCAGTGCCAGCCCAGTGGGGGATACAGAGATGACCCTGCCATCATGGCCCTATGGCCTATGTGCAGGGCCACCAGCCAGGAGCCCTCTGCAACTCAGGGGATATTCTAACGAAGAAGAGCACCTGCTTGAGCCTGGGTTTCTGTTGAGATTGGCCAAAGCAGGAGCGTGCCTGGAGGTGTGGTGGTGGTGGGTGCTTAGGAAGCTCTTTGGATTTTACAGGAAATCCTGGTGCTGTCATTTACTGGATGTGTGATGATGGGTTGGTCTTGAATGTTCTGAGCCTTAATTTCTTTGTTCAGCTGTAAAACCAACTTTGCCTTATCCTGTCTTTGTTTTTCCTACCTCTTCATTTCCCATATCCAATCAATTGTCAAGCTCTGTTGAGTTTACATTTGAAAAAGTCTCTTACTGCAAATCTCACTAAAATCTTTTTTTTGTGCTAGGTATTCTCCATTAGAACACTGGTGCTTGGTGAATGCAGCTGACAATGAAGCAAGGTTAAGTTCTACATTTTTTTCCTGGATTCCATAATTAGCATCTCAATGCTTAACCTAAATGTAATGTGGTCTAGAGACCATCATTACTTAAGAGATGTCCCGACCATCTGTAGGTACCACTTCTTCAGAGTCAGCATCAAATCTCTCTTACACACACACACACACACACACACACACACACGGATCTGGCTTAAAAACTCATGACAGTGCTCGCTACACTCTAATTACCACCAGTGATGCTTCCTAGGTATTAATTCCTGGCATTTCCCCCCATCTCCCTACCTGTGGAGAGTTTGGTGCTGAAGCCACTCCCTGGAATAAGAAAGGCCATTGCAGGATGGCGGCTGGCCCAGGGCCAGGAGGCGGGGTTGGTCTTGCCAGCAGGTAAACAGGAAGTCACAGGGATAGGCTGATGCCCTGGCTGCGATTATGTCATTGCTACTGGCCTATCAGGTAGCACCAAGTGGACCCACGGGGAGTAGTGATTGGTGGAGAGCAGTATAAAAGCAGCCGGTAAAAGCTAAGGAGGGGGACGAGGAGGAGAAAGATGGGGAGAACGATGGACAGAACGAGAAGAACGGGGCAGCAGAGAGGGGTGAAAAGCTAAGACGTACGGGACGAGGAGGAGAAAGACGGGGAGAAGAATGACTGACAGAACGAGAAGAATGGGGCAGCAGAGAGGGGAAGAGGGGCTAAGATCTTCGGGTGGAAAAACTAATGCATATGGGGAGGAAAAGCGGCAGAGAGGAGTACAAAAGCGGTATGGAAGCAATGCAGACCTACAAGGAGAGGAATGGGAAGAACGGTGGCGGAGAGAGGGCTGGAGAAGCGGGGAGGAAAGCTAAGACCAATGGGGAAAGGGGCAGCGGAGAGAAGGATTTAAATGCAGCCGCTTTTGGCAGTGAGGGGTCCAGTTGTGGTTCCGGCTTTTCCCAGACCCTCAAGAGTGTGCCTCGTCGGTAGTGAGTTGGTTAAAGCTGAAGGTTCTTCCTGCTCTGGTTACCTCCTCTTCTCCCTTCTCATTTAACTTCTTTGTGGTCATCATAACCTCACTGACTTGGTCCCTTTGGGCTTCACTTGCCTCCCTAACAAGCTGAACTTGAGGCACCTCCTGAATTGTGTGGTGCTTGCACTGATGAACACTAGCTCCCTCTTCCTAGCCCACCATTTGCTTTATTTGTGTCCACTTAGAATTTCTTGAGGGTGTCAGAAAACTGAGCCAACTTGGTTGTACCCTCCAACTTCATATTTTTTCTTTACTTTTTTATTTTGTTGATCTTTACATAGTTGATTAGGGAGCAAATGGCCAAGGGCTACAGGAAAGTGGAGAAGACCACTGTTTCCACATTCTCTTTTTTCCTTCCTGAATCTGGGGGCAGGGGAAAGATAAGGAGAAAAGCCACACCAGCCTCCCAACCATCCCAGGGTTCCCGATGTGGGGCCTGCTCAGAGGACTCTGTTCCAGTGGTTTTGAAAGTTCAACAGTTCTGAATTGCTGCCAATCTTACCACTCCAAGCATGATAAAATTTCTCCAGAATCTACTAGCTGACCTAGTCACCTTAGAATCACCATTTGCCTAGATTTTCACTGCCAATATTTGTTTCATCTAAGCCATTGAAGAGGCCCAGCTCTGACACAAGCATTACATAGTTAAATCACAGACTCTGCAATTTCCTGCATGGTTGAAGTTCTGAGTCTAGTGATTCAGTTGGGGAATCCCCAAAGAAACCTCATCTGATTCTAC